CAATACCACAACTCCTGCCACTGCTGAGCTATGCAGAGCTTATGGGCCCTCACATACTTGGTGTCCGCACACATGGGACCAGAGACAGTTGTAGGAGTTCTCAGGCCCTGAGTACATACAGCCTGGAGGTGCACAGGAATTTTAAGTCTCGGGGCAAATGTGGGCTCTCGGGGATGGAGGCTGGAGGCCAGTTAAGAGCTGCAGCCAGGAGACTTCTCAAATGGTCCCTTCAGATGGCCCTAACTGACCACTGTGGTGACCAACGGGGGCACATCCTCCAAAGTCTTCCCTGTTCCAGCCCTTTATCTTCAGTGTTGTTTGCAAAGTTAAACTAGATGCATGCAAGCCTTTGCCCCCAACTGTGTTTCAGGCAAGCGCTTAGGGGACCCAGATTAGTTACTCAGTTAAACTGATTGACATTCACTAGGTTGAGTCAGTGTTGCTATAGAATGTACTATGATTCAGACAAAACTGTTTCTTGATTCATCCACCAGAGAAGGAATGTGGTGGCTGTGGGAAGTCCAGGCTCAAATTTTGCCAAAAATTTGCTTTTGTGACCCACGCTATACCATTCAACCATTAGTGCCTCATCCGCCAAGCAGATGAGGTCAAGTAGATGACGTCATCTCTGACATGTCTTCCAGCTCCTTACTTGTACGCTGGTGAAATATAAGCAGCCACGTAACTACGTATATAGTAGCTGTTTCTCTCTCATCAACCTGAGGGATTGTTTGGACTGAAAATACGGCCACATTTTAATGCAACTTTAGGCCGGCACGCAGACCAGTCCTCTGGAGGTCTAGATTAGAGAATGAGCTATTCAGAACCTCAAAAACAATAAGGCTGACAGAAGGAGAGCAAGACAGCTTCTGTGGGAGTCAGCAAACATTAGCAGGGGCTGCAGCGTTAAGATAAGAACAGAGTAATGAGCAAAAGACTCACAACCAACTTCCTCGGCTGCATTCCAGCGGTCATTCCTGACTCCTCACATCCCTAACAGCTTGATAAATGGTCACCGAATGCTGAGGGTGGTTTTTTTCTTTGTTTTTCCCTCTTTTGTCCCCTTAGGAGTTACTTGAAAACTTGGTTTAGAAAATGCTTCTGCTTTGAGAAAAATAACACAAGATGGTACAAGTGCCAGGAAACAAAAGCATCATAACATGGGTTCTTCGTAAATCCTAAATCCAGGAGCATCAGTCTAGAAAAAGAGGCGGCCATGAGAGTGAAGGCAGCCCAAGGGCCACAGAACATGTGAAACAAGTAGAGTGTAAAGCAAATGATGTTGTTGGTGTCACCACCCATAAGACATTTAATATATGTAACGTAAGTCACTGCCATTGCACACACGAAGGAAGGCATCTCAGAGGAAACAATGTGTTTGGTGGCACACAGCTAGTCAGCGGCAGAGCCTGGGGCTCTTAAAGGAAGACGTTTTTATCTTAAGGTTTGTATTCGTTGGGCTGGGGGGATAGCAAAGCACTTATCACATAAGCAAGAGAATACGAGAGTCACCCCCATGTCCAGAAGCTTGGCGCGCCTTTTCCTCCTACAGGGTTGCCTCGTCCAGCCTCGATGTGGTGTGTATGTGTCTGTGTATGTGTATGTCTGTATGTCTGTGTCTGTGTATGTGTCTGTGCATGTGTGTGTGCCTGTGTGTGTGCCTGTGTGTGTGCCTGTGTGTGTGC